GGGCAGCGAGGCGGCGACGCGCGTGAGGGAAATCCTGCTCAGCACCCTCAGCCCCGAGCAGTTCGTCCTGACGCTGCTGGAGGCGGAGCCGCCCCACGTGCTGGTGAGCCGGCCCAGCAAGCCCTTCACCGAGGCCTCCATGATGATGTCCCTGACAAAACTGGCAGACAAGGAGCTGGTTCATATGATCGGTTGGGCCAAAAAAATTCCTGGTAAGAATTTCAGTCTTTCTTTTTCTTTATTTTAGTCAACGTATCGGTCTCTGTCCTGAAATAATAGCACCGTAAGTGCGTGGTGTGAACGTCTTGAGCTTTTAAACCTGTAAAGTAATGGACAATTTAGTGCTTCAAGTAGTTCACCTGGATGTGTTTTGATTTAGAGAATGACCTAGCCCACAATTTACTATCTGTTGTGAGTCAAATACTTGTTTGTTTTGCTAAACATGTTGCATGTAATTTCTACCTCGTCAACTATAAATACCTGATTAATCTGATTTAGAAGGTTCATTAAAAAGGGTAATATCTAGATTGCTATAAAAAAAATAACTTAAGACCAAGTTCTTTCCTTGAATCTTGATAGAAGGTTTCTAATACAGTTGATTAAAAGCTGAAGTACATCCAAGCACTGAGTATCTGCAATTGCTTCATTTGACATAGTTGCTACACAGGAGCATCAGATTGTAAAGTGGTGCATAGTGTCAATCTCAGAATTATTGTGCACTCTCCTTCAAAACAAAAATCAATAAGAATGCTTTTGGTTGTTGGCACCACAAAGAACGTGCACTGAAGTACAACTACGTATGTTGAATGTCTCAAATGCGACCTCAGTATCCAAAGTACCGTTTCCCTTCTCACAAACCAGAAGCAGTGGGCATTTGCAACTCCTTCTTCATGAAGCACCTATGATATAAAACAATCAGAATAAAGAGTAAAAGCTGGAATAAAAGCAGCCAGCACACAGAGATGATAGATGACAAAGCTGTGCAGAAAAGCTTGCTGGTTGGTATAGACTAAAACACAGACTATAGCCCTTTAGTGAGAGCTAAGGTGATCAACTAATAATAATGAGCTGAAAGAAGTCTTGAATAATGGCTAGATGTATATCAGTGTGGGGCTTAATCCTTAACTTCATATATAGTGCTCTGATAGGGAGGATCCCTAAGGCTATGTTTACTTTGCATGGCTATTGTGTTCTGCAGTGTGTCTGGTGGTTCTCACCCCACGTCTATAAGGACCAAGGAACCAGCATGGCTCCTCTCCTGAATTTTATGGTGATGGCAACCAGAGTGTGCTGGTGCATGCCCTGGTCTTGTCATACTTGTACACTGCAAGCACAGCTTGCTGCTGCTTGAATACACACAGGAAGACATAACAGCAATCCTTCTGTCTTAAAATAAGCTCAGTGTGTACATCGTACAGGAAACAAACTTGGTGGAGACTTTCATGTAATTCCTAAACTAAGAATTTAGAGTGAGGGAAGTGTTCCAGCAGCTGTCAAGGGAAGTGGCTAAAGTTGCTACCAGCTCCAGCTGCTGGACCGCATCCCCTTGTTCAAGATCAGTGTCCATGGCTCAGCTACTGTGTTGGAGGGTTCAGGCGTGATGGTTTTAGGGTGTGCAAATTCCAGCACAACTGCTGAGCTGCTGTAGAGGAGATGTTTGCACAGCATGTGCATCTTAAATCCTGTTAGCTATTTGCAGAGTGATAGTGGTTTTGCTATTAATGTAGAATGTTTTAAACTGAATGCCCAAATCCTTTATCCTCATTTTCCCTGATATAAGAAACTCTGAAAATTACTGTAAAAGAGTCATAAGGGTTTGGTGGTTTCTATTGCTATAATTTCTTGTCTGATCAGAAAAGTTTCATTAAAAAGTACCATTTCAGAAGACTTTGTATAGTTATGTTAATCCAGTAGGAAGTGAATCGTGAAGGAAACTAGATAAAATCTTAGAAAATGACCTCATTTTAAACAACATTTGAATGGGAGAAAAAGCCCAAGACCACCTTTTCCATTTTATGATTGTTCATAATTTCTGTTGATTTTTTTTAAGCTGTCAGCTTTTATTAAAAAACAAAACCACAAACCTCAGACAACTGAGATTAATTTTTCAAATTTTTTAAAAGATCAGTTTCCAGACCTACCCCAATTTTGATGTTGATCACTTTTAGTTTATTTTCAACATCTGTTAGAAATAAAAACTTCTTGGCAATAAGAGAATGGTATGAAGAAAACCCACTGAAGCACTCCAACCCCTTCAAAACAGTTCCTGGGAATGTTGACTCTTTATTGTGTGTGTTTGGTTTTTCTGAACACTCCTGTTACACAGAACAGAAGTAAACACCACTTTAGAACAATGCCAAAAATAGGTGTCATATATTATGTAACTAATTATAAGTAATACTGCTTTATTACATGCCCGTTAGAGCATTTACTTGAATATGGATTTTTTTTTTCCATTAAAATAACTGTGATGACTAAAGCTTAGGACTTAGAATTTTAGTTTTCAAAAATACTTGCCTGAAGTTGGTCATCTTGATCTATGCTCTGCTTCCTGGAGATAAGGTTTCAGAAAAAAAAAAAAAAAATACAGAGTTCTTCACTAACTGCCCAGAGAACAGTAATTTAACTTTCTATAAAGATGAATATTTGTTTTGTGTAGCTGTGTAAGAAGCCCATTTTCACCTCTGAATTATTATTGGATGTTATTTTGGCACTCACCAAAAGTGAAAGAAAATAATGTTTCTTTCTAGATGCTGATGTTAACAGTAATTTTTTTTTGCCTACATAGGAAAGATTTATTTTTTTTCTTACATATTTGAAGACCTTCTTTTGTTCTGGGTTTTACTCTGTGATAGTATTTTTTGTCTGTACTTTCAGTTTAATGACAGTATTTTTGTTGTTGCTCAGTAAAATAGAAGCTGGCAACTGGATCATTTTCCTTTTGGATACCAAGTATTTTAATTCCAAGTTGTCAGGTGGTAGAACATAACTTCTATAATTGCTTTTTACTTTTATGTACTCCAAGAGAGTTGAACATGGTTCATGTCTGAACCTGTGCTGCTAATCAGTAGGATGTTGTCATAATATTGAAATTTGGATTCATTATGCAACTCAGTGTGTTGTTGACCAGAGCAATGTGTCATTTGCTAGTTTGTGGCACATCCAGCACAAGGCTTTTTTTTATCTGTCTTAGTAATTTATAATTAAATGATTAAGCATAGAGCATTTTACGATGTAAAGGATATGTACTACAGCCATAGAAAAATAAGTAGTTTAAAGTACTCTGCAACAAATGAAATGGACTTCTGACACTGCAATCACAGCTATGGTGGTGATGTGTTGTCCTCAATCTTTTAAGCATGAGATTGTTAGGAAAAGGAAAGGAATAGCCCTTCCAATAGCTGTGCTCAATGGTGATAATTCGTACAGCTGGTGTTGAGTGTGAGTTTAGCAGATGACATCCAGGATAAATCTGGATCTTTAGGTGCCTGTAGATTGAGTGCTGGGACTTGGTCTGATGTCTCACTCAACTGAGATAACTTTTAAACCCAGTAACTGGCTGTTTATGCAAAGGAAATCAGCACACGCCCGTGTAAATGTTTGTTTAAATAAACTTCTGAAACGTCTTCGGGCTGTTGTTTCCAGGGAAACTGCCACTGTCAGTTTATGCTGTTCACACATCCATGATTATTTTTCTAAAAGCACTTTTAAAATCATAAGTGTGTGTCTGGCAGATAATCTGTTGTTGGCTGTGGGTTCTGTAGTAAATTCTGTGACAGCAAAATCCAGGAGGGAAGGTACAACTCATAGGCTTCTGTTTACCCTTCTTACAAAATAAGCAGCCAGGTTATCAATTTTGAAAGGCAGCACTTTTAAAAATGATAAGAGAGAATGCCTGTTACCTAGTTTGTCAGCCCAGGGCTGTCACCAACTGTCTTCCAGCCTAGTAGTTTAATAAGATTAAAATACACAGGTCGTTAGTATAAACTACTGACAGCAGACTCTTTGACAGCACAAACGTACTGTGTGTGTTTGAAGGCCTCAGACAACCTCAGGAAACCCATCTCCCATCGCCAGGCTGCCATGATTCTTTTGCTACGTAGAGTTGTAGATGTCAGTTTGGGTGAAAATGAAGCCCTTTTGCTAAGAGACCTGAAGCAACTCTGCTTTGGAGACAGTGGCCTGATCTTGGTTTTGACCACTGAACTGGTCTCCATCAAACCTGTTTTACTCCTGGACTGAGCAGATTGCTTTCCCACTTGCATTTTTTGGTTTAGGGTGTATAAATGTTACTTCGCTTTATTTGGCTTCTATGCATCCTTTTTTTCCCCTGGTCTTTTTTGCAGGGGAAGGGGAGGGCAATGACTGTTTCTCCCACTGGGCTCTGCTGCAGTGCTCTCTGATGCCTTGCTCCAGGTTCTGGAGAGAACTAAGTGCTCCAGCAGGTTTATGCACAGCCACATTGATTCTGTTCTTGTTGCTGGGATGCTGTGCATGGTGGCAATGAGGACACTACTACCTTCACCAACGACCCTCACCAACGACCCTTGTTTTTTTTCTTTTTCTGGTTTGTTGCAGTTTTGGGGAAGGAGGCAGCAGAAAATGGATGGGATGAGGTCAGCACATGTCATTTACAAAGGGGATGATAAGACAGAGGCACCAAGGTGTTGGTTGTTTCACAGTTGCCTGAGAACCCCGGAAACATCCTTGTCTTATGAGATTAAAAAACCCTGCAAGTGACAACCATATGTGTTCTGGGGAAAGAACAGGCTATTTTCTTAGGAGTCCTCTGGAGTGCAGTGGAATAGTCTCCAACAAACGGGAGTTCCCCAAGGGACTCCTCAGTGCCTCTCAGGAGGATTTGGGACTGTCATCTAAAGAAGTGGCCAAGCATAAGGCAGGTCCTCTGGAGTCACTTGCGTTTCACCAGCTGTATGGGAATAATTTCCCTTGAACATCACTCTGCTTTATTTCAAAACTTTTGTGGGAAATTAGATAATAACAAATATTTATGTTGCTCTTTCTCATGGCTGTGTTCCCTTTTCTGGCTTTCTTCACAACCCATCATTCTTTTTATTTCCTTTTGTTTTTCATATTCTCAGTCTCTTTATTATACCAGAAATAAACAGGTTGATTTATTTTATACTACTTTCCTCATTTTAGGCTTCATTGATCTCAGCCTGTATGACCAAGTAAGACTCTTGGAGAGCTGCTGGATGGAGGTTTTGATGGTTGGTTTGATGTGGAGATCAATCGACCATCCTGGGAAACTAATTTTTGCACCAGACCTTGTGCTAGACAGGTAAGAGAAATAAACTTCATGAGAACACTTCATATTAGCATGTTTGGAGGTGAGGTGAATGGTAAGATGAAGAGGATTAAGTATGGGAAATGCTATTAATCGTTTATCTAACAATATACTTTACTTATATTTGTAACAATAATGTCTTAAAGTTTCACATCCTTACAGGGGCTTAAGGAATGCTAAACATAAAAGAGTACTGTTAGACTTGCCAGTTCATTCCTGTAGCATGTGGCAACGTGAAGTTCCTCTGTTTTTTATACATCTTTCATTGGTTTTGTTCCTTTTGGTCCAGGTCTCTAGATGCTGAAACTGTAGACACATCAACACGATGTAGTACTTTGTCAATCATTTTCCTCCAGCTGATAGATTTTTCTCTCCCTACCCTTCAAAAAAAGCATACATAGTTTGTTTGGGTTTTTTTTGTTTTTTTTTTTTAAGAAAAGTAGCTTTTCTACCTGTTTTTCTTCCCTTCCCTAATACAGCTTCATAAATAGCTATAATAATGAAAATTGGAGCACGAATTGAAAGGGAGTAAAAAAAAAAAAAACAAACAACCCAGCTTGCCTTTTAATACTGAAAGTATTTTCTTCAAGCTAAAGCAGGGTGTTTGCAAGATTAAAAATTATTTCTCCATAACATCATGTACCAGGAGGGAAGAATACAGATTAGTGAGGGTGCTTTTCTACAGGACCTTAGAAGGATTTGAGCTAGGCTTCACATTGGTAAAAAGTCAGGGAAACAATCTTGGGTAGATGTAAAATGTCTGTTAACCTTTTCACACCAGCTAAATTCAGGTCTGTACCAGTTCTGTGGCTTGAGCTCAATAATAGTAATCATAGATACAGAAAGCAAAATGGGTTACTAAGAGAAATTGAATTTATGAAATATGAAGTAAATTATTATTTGCTCATATAAAATCCAATGCAAGGACACGCTGTGTTGTTCAATGCAATGATATGAAATTGCTTGAAAATCTCTGATACATTGAGTTCCTCAGGAGCTAATATGTGCTGAATAGAGTGAGCTTATTTGATGCATTCTTTCATCTCCACAAGACACAGCAGAGTGGGAGCTGGCAAGCATCTGGGCATGCTGTAATTTTATTTTTTTAAGACAAGCATATATGAAACTGATCTGTAAATTGATTGTTTTTATCTTAGCTGAACTTCAGATACATTCCCTACATAATCTTTTTAGACAAGTACTTCTTTGATGCTTGTGTCTTTGTTTTAAAAGTGACAGCTGCCTCTCCTTCTCCAAAGATTAAAATTCTCCTTTGCTATGAGGAACAAGGGAAACTGGGCAGTACTCAGGCAGCTGCCTTTCTGCAGGCAGTCCTTGCTGCAGCTGGTTGGTGTTATCTGCCTGTGCCTGCCCTGCAGCCTGCAGGATCAGCACCTTCCTCTCGGGATCCAGTAGAGGAGTAAAGGTCTTTAATTCTCCTGCACTTCTGTGCTTAAGTCTGTCTAGTCTTAAAAGCATTACAGGCAAAAAAACCCCTCATATTACAGACAGTATAAGAAACATCCCTTCGAATACTGCTTAATTGCTTTTTTAGTTCAGTACACACACACACAAAAGCCAAACAACTAACAACCAAACCACAAACAAAACACACAAAAGAAATGCTGCTGTTTAATTTTAAACCCTCTGGAATGCTTGGGGTTGTTTTGTTTTGTTTGTTTGTTTGTTTTTTTCAGATCAGACATCAGGACCATTTCAAATATCCAAAATGGAAAAAGTTGCATTCAATGAACACTTACAAACATAAAAATAACCAAACCACAAAACCACCAAAGAAACACCCCACAAATCTATTTACATTTAAATATCTTCAAAGAAAAAGGTTCTGGGGGATGGTGTTGGATGTTGGTTTCTTCTTGAGAATGTCTTATTGTTCCAAGAAACTAATTTTAGGGGGTCTTTCTTATTCACCAAGTCCTGAGGCCTCCCTTGGGTACAAATAGTGATGTCACTGTTTGTGGTATCAAAACCTTGTGAAAAAAATTGGAAGATGCTTCATTGTGCCCTGCACTCCAGAACTTCAAGCTGATTATCCAGAATTATACTGGCTGTGAGGTTAAAGCCTCTTACAGAAATATGGTCATACTTACTTACAGTCAATCCTACATGCACTTTAAAGAGCAAAATTAGATTTTTTCAGAGGTGCTGACCTTTTATACAAGTGTAATTTTCAGTTTAGATTTCATGAGAGAACCTCCTGAGTTCTCCCAAAGATAAGATGGAGAGGCCTTCTGCAGCCTCCTTTGTGCTTTGGCTTTTATCTGGCTGAGTCAGAATTCCTTAATTCTGCTTCTTTTTGGTAACTTTTTAAATGTGTCTCTGTAGGGACGAGGGGAAATGCGTAGAGGGAATTTTGGAGATCTTTGATATGCTCCTGGCCATGACCTCAAGGTTCCGAGAGCTGAAGCTGCAGCACAAGGAGTATCTGTGTGTAAAGGCAATGATCCTCGTCAGTTCCAGTGAGTATGCAGTTGGTCCTGACACTCACCAAACTGTACTTTTTATTTAAAGTGTGGCAGGAAAATCAGCCTCTAAAAATGACAGAAATATCAGATGAGATAAAGCCATTGAAAGAGAACAATGGGAAAGGACTTCTAACTCAGATTGTAAGGATTCTTGCTCAAGAAACTTTTGAGCTGTATCATTTGCTGGCTTTGGAGTCTGTGTCCTATTGCAAGAACTACATGAAAGACCCAAAGTCTGAAAGCTTCTCACGAGGTGGGGCTTATGGCCCAGGCTGTGGGTGCCTTCTTTTAATGAAAATTATTTCTTTTATCTCTGTGGATCATGATCATGTGTGAAGTTGCTGTACAGTTCTACAAACCTATTCTTAGTTCTGGTAAAACTAGTTACTCGGAGTGATGATTAATTTGGCTTAAATGTTCCCATTTAGTGCTAATTAGTTGGTAGAAATGATTGTTCAACTGTTCTGCAAGATTAATTTCAGGATCAGAGATTTGCTTTGCAGCAAGGCAAATAGGATTATGTGTTTGCTAGTTTTAAGTAGTCTCCAGTAAAATAATTTTATTCCACAGAATATTTTTTAATTAATATTGTCAAAAATATCCAAGAACAAAATAACTATTTACATCTCCTGTTTTCAGCAAGGAACTGCTATGTAATTCTCAGCCCAGTTCTGAAGGGGTCCAGCTGTTATCCTCCTCTTTTATAGATGGATACCATTATTTTAACAGACAACAAAAGCTACTCTTATTTTCTTAAAAGAAACTCACAACGCACCAAAAATATCACCAAAACATCATGTTAATCGGCCATATTTTCTTCAAAGGCTCACCTCTCAGAAATTCTCTCACCTCTCCCTGCTCTCCTTTCTTGTCCAAAGTTAATCTTTAGCATCTAATTTTAGAGATGTTCTAGAGCTCTGTCCTTCCATAAGCATCTTTTTTTTTCTTTTGCCCTAGATCTCTTCTGCTCTACCAGTAATGTTACTGTGTGTTTCCAAACCTTTCTAGTGGTGATTACTCCTCTCCCCACCCCATTCCTGTAACTTTTCCCCCATTTTTTTTTTCTTTTTCTAATGTGTAGGGTTTCTCACAGTAGGCAAGTGAGATGTAGAAGGACCATAGCAGGTTGGGTCTATGAGGAGTGTCTCTCACCATGTTCTCTTCTCTCCCTAGGATATACTCAGACTAAAATGTGGGTTGTTTTTTTTTCAGCAAGAAGGGATTAGAGCAAGCTATAATAATAGTAATTATTATGTTGCAATGCATAATCATTATTAAACTACTAGGTACAGTGATTCCAAGGGACAAACCCCTGGAGAATGGACTGCACATCCATTCTCTGGATTGAAGGGTCTATGTTCAACATGTCTTGGGAGGATTTGGGAGAGTTACTGACGCAGTTGGCAAATGATATTGCCATCAAATTTTGGCAAAGGAGTGTAAGCCAGAACTTGGTGTGGCAGATAGAGCATTGTTTGAACAGCCTTGAGTGGGGGATCAGGAAATGTATCTTCTCTAATCCCACTGAGATATTACACCAGAGAAACGTCCACAGTTGTGGTTTTTTTTTCTTCCTCATGAGCAGAGTATTTCTCTTCTCTTTTTAGGCATGTTTCCCTTGTCAGCAGCAGAACCTGAAAGCAACAGGAAACTGCATCACCTGCT